CAGGCTGGTCTCAAACTCCTGAGCTCAAACAATCCACCCGCCTCGGCCTCCCAGAGAGCTAGGATTACAGGCGTGAGCCACCGCGCCCGGCCTTAATTCTGGAATATTTTTATCACTCCCAAAAGAAACCCCACACCCATTAGTAGTCACTGCCCATTTTCCCTTCCCTCCAACTCTGGCAACCACTAACCTACTTTCTGTCTCCATGAACTTGCCTATTCCGGACATTTCATATAAATAGAATCACACAATATGTAACCTCTTGTGTCTGGCTTGTTTTACTTAGCATAGTGTTTTCAAGGTTATTCCATGTTGTAGCATGTACAGCATTTCATTCCTTTTTATGGCCTAATAATATTCCATTTTATGGAGATATATATATATACACACATACACCATATTTGTTTATACATTAATCAACTGATGAACATTTTACTTGCTTCCACTTTTTGAATATCGTGAATAATGCTACTAGATATATCTGTATACAATTTTTTGTGAACAAATGTTTTTGGTTCTCTTGAGTATATACCTAGGAATGGAACTGTTGGGTCATACAGTAACTCTATGTTTAACTTTTTAAGGAATTGCAAAAGCGTTTTCTAAAGCAACTTCAGTGCTTTATATCCTTTTTATATGACAACATACTCTTAAATAACCAGTGGATCAAAGAAGAAATCACAAGAGAAATTAGAAATTAAAAATTAGAAAAGACTTTAAAATAAATGAAATCAAGGACACAATATTAAAACACATGAGTTGCAGCAAAAGTAGTGCTTAACGGGAAATTAATAGCTGCATAAGCCTATGTTAAAAAAAGAAGAAAGAACTCAAATCAATAACCTAATTTTCCACTTTAAAAATTGGAAAGGAAGAGTAAACTAAACCCAAAGCAAATAGAAGGAAGGATACAATAAAGATTAGAATGGAAATAAATGAAATAGAAAATAGAAAAACAATAGAGATAGTCAATTAAACCAAAAGTTGATTCTTGGAAAGAACAACATCATTGATAAAACTTTAGCTAGACTGACCAAGATAAAAAAGAAAGAAGACTCAAATTACTAAAATTAGGAACGAAAGAGGGGACATTACTATCAACCTCACAGAAATACAAAGGATCGTAAGGAAACACTATGAACAACTGTTTGTCAATAAATTACCTTAGATGAAATGTTCAAATTCCTAGAAAGACATAAGGTACTATAACTGCATCAAGAAGAAAAAAACAATCTTAACAGACATATAGCAGTGAAGAGACTGAATTAGTAGAGTAGTTCCCCTTAACCACAGGGGATGTGTTCTAAGACCCTCCATGAATGCTTGAAATCATGCAATGCGTGAAATCCTATAAATACTATGTTTTTTCCTATACTGTACATATACGCCTATGGCAAAGTTTAAGTATTACTTGATAAACAAGGAATAGAAAGGAACTTTCTCAACCTGATAAAGAAAATCTAGAAAAACACCACAAATCATGTAGTACTTAAAGGAAGTATGCTCACTCTTACCATTTCCATTCAACGCTATACTGGAAGTTCTAGCCAGGGCAATTACATAAGAAAATGAAATAAAAGTCATTGAGATTAGAAAAGGAAAAAGTAAAACTATTTCTATCTGCAAATGACATGATCTTATATATAGAAAATTCTAAGGGATTCACTAAAATAGTATTACAATTAATAAATGAATTCATCAAGTTTGCAAGATACATAATAAATGCAGAAAAATCAGTTGTATTTTTAGGCCAGGCATGGTGCTCGTGCATGTACTTCTAACGCTTTGGGAGACCAAAGAAAGAGGACCAATTGAGGCCAAGAGTTCAAAACCAGCCTGGGCAACATAGTGAGAGACAGTCTCTACCAAAAAAAAATTGTATTTCTATATTCAGTAATGAACAATCTAAAATGAAATTAAGAAAACAATTACATTTATGGACAGGTGTGGTGGCTCGCAATACCTATAATCCCAATACTTTGGGAGTCAGAGGCCAGGAGTTCAAGGTTGCAGTGAGTTATGACTGAGCCACTGCACTCCAGCCTGAGCAACGGAGTGAGATCCTATTTCTCTCTAAAAAAAACAAACAAAACAAAAAAACAACACTTACACTGTGAAAACTACAAAGTACTGCTCGAAAAAAAATTAAAGACCTAAAAATAAATGGAAAGATATCTCATGTTCATGGGTTGGAAGACTTAATGTTGTTAAGATGGCAATATTCCCGAAAGCAATCTACAGATTCAACGCAATACCTACAAAAATTCAAGCTAGGTTCTTTGTAAAAACTGAAAGCTGATATAAAAATTCATCTGGAAATGCAAGGGACTCATAATATCCAAAATAACCCTGAAAAAGAAAAACAAAATTGGAAAACTCACATTTCCCAATTTCAAAACTTCTAACGTAGAATTTGTAATTTTATATTCTTTTTCTTATAGAATCCCAAACACAAATTGTACAATTTTCATGACAGGTAAAACTGGGGTCCCAAACCCTTGTTTTGAATAGTGGCTACCCTGGGTGAGGGGCGAAAAGTACTGACATGATCACAGTGGGACACGAGGCCACTGCTGTATTGTTAATGTTCTATTTCTTATGTTGGATAAGTATTCATTTTATTATTATCATTTAAAAATACATATCCTTCATAAACTCTTTCTTGAATGACATATTTCATGACAATTATGTTTAATCACCCTTATTATTCAATGATCTAATTTTAGAATATAAGTAAATTACTTGGGGTCTACTCTCCCACTACCAGTGGGTATTCAAGAGTAAAAAACTAAATAAATAAAAGGTAAAATTAAGAATTTTACCATCACCGTCTATGGATTGTTATGTGTATCTCAGATTTCCAGGGTAGAATTCAAAAGGAGAGCCTAGGTAATACTGTTAGAGATGCAATGATAATGCTATTGCCAGGCTTGGTTTAATAATTAATATATTAGTAATAATGGGTACCATATGTTATGTACTTACTACGTGCCAGGGCACAAGGCCGGGTACTTTCAAAGTAACGGTTTCTTTAAGTCTCCCAGCAACTCCATAAGACAGCAAGCCCATGTTATTTCTATGACTCAGTGTTCATGGACCAAGCTTCCTTAGGGAACACTGACACTTACAGACTCATAAGAGTTTCATCCATCATTTCTTATTCCCAACCCTTTAACCATTTCATACATTATCCACCTCTTAGAGTGGCAAAAGCTAAATGGGGTATCAAACAAATGCTTTATTCTTCCATCCTAAGTAGATATCTCATCTGATTTGCACATAAGCTCCAGTTTCTCTCTACCTTCCCAAATGTGGATCTTGAAGTGAAAGAAGAGAGAGAAGTTCTACAATGCAGTATAAAAGAAATAAAGTAGATTCAACCCCAATCCTAAGGAGCTTATAATGTAAAATAGATAGGATAAATGAAGATCTAGACCATAGAAGAACCTCAAGCACATGTATGAAGAATGTTACAAATTTGTACTAAACATGAAAGCTTTAAAATAAAGGTAAAGGCTATTAATAGTTTTTGTACATATCTATAAGCGTGGCTATAGTTTACACGTAAATAGATAAAACCATTCATAATAAAACACACATACAATCATTAATAGTTTTCTAGAAATTCCCAATGTACTCTTCTGGCATTTGAGAAATTAAAAATTAAAAAAACAGGAGCTTGATTCAATTTTCCTTTTTTTTTTTTTTTTTTTAAGCCCAAAGTATAAGGATTTTAATACCTCTTCAGGCCTTCCCAAAGCTGGAGTTCCTGTAAGAAGAATGGCTCGTCTGGCTTTCTGTACTACTGGCAATAAAATCTTGCTGCGATTTGCATTTCTGGACTTCATGTAATGTGATTCATCCACTATAACTACTTTGAAGTTCTGATTATTCAGTGCATCTATCAAAGTCTCTGCATCTGTGGTTAAAAGACCATAACCCAGAACTGTCACTTTGCTCGTCGATATTCTCCTAGAAAAGAAAATCCATGTAGTTAAAAAATATCTCAGTAACCAATTTATCATAAACAATACAACTCTTTTGGGAAGAGATACAGAGGAGGGGAAAAGGGCAAAAATAAAAGGGGATGGTATTACTACTGAAACTCAATTTCTCTTAAGATTTTATAGTCCTTAAATATAATAAACCTGGATCCAAAATTTAAAATTTTGCTTAATCAAAACCAAAATTTTGGTCAAATGATCTTTGGAAGATTTTGGCATGCAGCAAGCCACATTTTACCACTATATGAACATTACATTTTTTTTTTTTTTTTTTTGAGACAGAGTTTTGCTCTGTTGCCCGGGCTAGAGTGCCGTGGCATCAGCCTGGCTAACAGCAACCTCAAACTCCTGGGCTCAAGCGATCCTTCTGCCTCAGCCTCCCAAGTAGCTGGGACTACAGGCATGTGCCACCATGCCCGGCTAATTTTTACATATGTATATATTTTTAGTTGTCCAGATCATTTCTTTCTATTTTTTAGTAGAGACGGGGTCTCGCTCTTGCTCAGGCTGGTCCTGAACTCCTGACCTTGAGTGATCCACCCTCCTCGGTCTCCCAGAGTGCTCGGATTACAGGCATGAGCCACTGCGCCCGGCCTGAACATTACTTTTTGACAATATTTGTTTCTGTGCGCCTAGGATCATGCATAAAGTAGATACTTAAATATTAGTTGACTCTTCAATGAAACTTTCACACAAATAGGATAGCAATTTTTCAACTTGGGTGCTATTGGTATTTTGAGTAGGATAATACTTAGTATTACAGGTTTGATCCAGTGAACTGCAGGGCATTTCATTTCCTGATCCATCCATTAAAGGCCATTGGAGTTACTAAGTCGCTGTGACAACAGAAAGGCCTCTGGCCCTGGGGTGATGGAGTGTAGTTAGAAGAGGAGGGGGTCCAACATCATGTAGAGAACCATTGAGCTAAAGGGATCCCTGATCTTTTGATTTCTATAATTCATACATCTGTTATATTCTTTATCTTACTGTTCATGAAATTATTCATTTATTTATCATTCTTACTATATCATGAAATTGGTGAGGGCAGGGGATGTGTATTATTCATCTTTGTATACATTCATACAACACTATGCTCCCAATGAAAGTTTGTAGAATGAAATAACTAGACAACTGAATTCATTAGCAGTAAAACATATCACTTTTGCATGTTCTATATCACCAGTGAAAAATACAGCAGAGTCAGTCTTCTGCAATTCTCTATCTTCTAACAGAAAAGGCAGAGCTCCTAAGTAGCCAGTACCACCATAGGAACTGCATTTTTTTAAAAAATGGCAACTGGATTTTAAGCCGTGCATAAACCTACTTAATAAAAGACCTATGATTTTCTCACTGTTCTAAAACATCAGAAGAGCCTGCAAAAGAAAAGTACAGGGTTAATATTACTAACTTAAATATACTGAGAACAATATATAGAAGACAGAGCCTTCAAAGGTCACTGCAGCAGTCCCTGTAACTTCTATCCTGCCATGTCTCAACTAGTGAATGGTCTGAGCGTAACTGGTATATGCCAGCAGGAAGCATATGTATTTGTGGTAAACACATGATGATATATACCTAAACCTGCTTCTTTAAGTACCTGGAAAACATTGGGTAGTTTTTATGCCCTTTAGCTAACATCCTCCAGAAATCTTATACTCTGGGGTTGTAGTCTTATTTACCATATCCTAAATTTTATTCACATAAAAATATGAGCCACTATTTAATTGCAAGAGTGTATTTCCAAAATAATAATGAAAACTAGATGACCTAAAAGTTATAAAGGATGACAGAAGAGACATATTTTAAGAAAATTTAAATGTAGCATTTAAATAAAATATAGCTAACAGAAGAGGGTTATGGAAGCCTTAAATTCTACATTCTCTAAATTCTTAAGTCTTTTCAAGTTTATGCAGTTTTATTAGAGAGGAGATTTATTTATAATTATTATTTATATTTTATTTTATTTATTTTATTTTTTTTAGAGACAGGGTCTTACTTTGTTGCCCATGCCGGAGTGCAGTGACATGATCATAGCTCACTGTAACCTCAAATTCCTGGGCTGAAGCAACTATCCTGCCTCAGCCTGCCAAGTAGCTCGGACTATGGTTGCATGCCACCATGCCCAGCCAATTCTTTAATTTTTTGTAGAGACAGGGTCTTTCCCAGGCTGGTCTCAAATTCTTGGCTTTAAGTGATCCTCCCGCCTCTGCCTCCTGAAGTGCTGATTATAGGCACGAACCACCACCCCTGGCCTACATTTTATTTTAACCCTGTAAATAGTGTTGACATTTTTCTGGGCCCATAAAGATGTATTTCACTGAATTAGGGTTGCAAAGTTGAAAGAGAAAAAGCCCTCCATCTATTTTGTCTATTTCATCCTTCCACATTCACAAAGGCTAACTTTATTTGTACGAATACTCTTTATGTTAACAGTCTTAGAGAATACAATATAGTAAAGTAATACTGTAATCAAAAAAACTATGAATTAACAGATATTTATTTCAGGTAGACATATTGTTTTTAAGGTTCAGAAATAGATAATTTTGAACCTCTGAAAACATGATAATTTGCATGATTCACCTAGATATTCAACGTACTAACTTATCAATATTCAAATTGGTTGCCTTACTACAATGGCTAGAAAGCAAAATGAGGAAAAAAAATACTAGTGACATTATGATAGATTTTTAGAGTAAGGACTTCAAATATTTTCAGGATATAAAATATCTGACAGATTAATGCTCTAAAATAAATAAAAGACATAAATATCAAAATTAACCAGGTGTAGTGGTTCACACCTGTAATCCCAGCTATTCAGAAGGCTGAGGCAGAATAACTTGAAGCCAGGAGTTAGAGACCAGCATGGGCAACAGAGCAAGACCCTGTCTCTAAAAAATAAATAAACAAACTTTAAAAAATTAAAATATTACAATTATAAATTAACTTAATAAAGAAAATCAAACTTAATACTAGAGTCATATATAAAACTTGCACATTAACTATTAACCATTTAGAAAGCAAAATCTTCCATGGTTGCTGATAATAAAAGATCACACAGTTTCAAGTTAATCATTAAAAAGTTGTGAGATTTATTTTTGAGCCCTAAAATAGTTAAAGTATATTTATAGTATATATAAAGTAGATACATTACATATATCTTTAAAGATATGCATATTTTACACTTACCTTAAAAATATATCATAAAGGAACTTAGAAATTAAATATACTATTGAGTTTTAGATAAATAATTCATATTCTAAAATGTAAAATAAAATTCTCTACACTATATACTTCTAAATTATGATCTGTAGGTGATTTCATTTTAAACATGAATATCTACTAAATATACACAAGAATACTTTTTTTCTTAAAGATCATAAAGTTGTTCTTACCCAACATCAGTTTTATTCTGAATAACATTGATTTCTTCTGGACCTAGCTCTGGGATCCATTTCTCTATTTCTTCTGTCCAAGGGTACCTCAGAGATGAAGGGACCACTATTAAAAGAGGCCATTCCTCTTTATAGAAGTAAGCAATTGCAATTGCCTGGATTGTTTTTCCTAGACCCATCTAAATTAAAAATAAATAAATACTTGTTAAAAATAAAGCCTAAAATATTTTGAAATAAAATAAATAATATAAATAAATACTAAATATTTCAGTCAAAATAATTTGCCAATGTAAAATCACTTGAATTACACAGTTAATAAAAAGTTTGAGATTACAGAACCTATGAAATTAAGCAAATTATATTATGTTCAAACCATTTGTGATTGAACTTGAGAAAAAAAAGACCCCTAAGCTTAAACAGTAGTTATACTGATTTTATATAACATAGTTTTATAAAATGTATGTAACCATTTATAGTTTATCCTCTTAACACAGTAGTAAATGCCTTACCTATATAACACAAAATCATTCTATTGTAAAACTAGAATAAGCCTTGAGTAATGCACATTTTACAAAAGAAGAAGTAGGCACAGAGAGGTTAAATTATTTCAATCTCAGCTAACTAAAGCAAAACTAGTATGAGATCCCAGGTCTCTGTTATCCTGCAACTTGATTGTTTTCACACTATTATACTGCCCCACCTCTAAGCTATTCTCATTAAAAAGCAGTTACTAAATAAATGATTTGTTCATAATTGCTAGAAACTGAAGACAACTCAAATGTCTTTCAAACTGTGGTATATCCATAAAACAGAATACTATTCAGCAATAAAAAAGGAGCAAACTTGTGATCTACGCAACATGAATAAATCTAAAACACATTTTGCTAAATGAAAGAAGCCAGATTTGAAAGCTACATACTACTAATATATGATTCCATTTATATGTCATTCTGGAAAAAGTAAAAGAATAGGGACTAATAGCGGATCAGTGGTTGCCGGGGGCTGGAGGTGGAGGAGGGGAACAGTAGGAAGGAACTTTGGGGGATGGAGTTGGTCTGTATCTTGATTTTAGTAGCAATTAATTATATGACTGTGTGCATTTGTCAGAACTCATAGAATTGTACACTAAAAATGGGTGAATTTACTCAAAAGTGTGAATTATATCTCAATAATCCTTACTTTTTAAAAAAAGTAATTATTAATACTATAGCAAATGATGGGAAAGAAAAAGACTAAGACATAGATGGGCCCTACTTAACAGACTATTCAAAAGGAAAAAAAGACAGACATAGAAACCTAAAATAATGAGTGTTAAATGATGAAAGAAATTAAAGAAAAGAAAAAGGAGGTTTTGAAGTCTCCATTGACAGAACCTCATTTTGTTTATGTATTTTTATTAAAAACAAAAAAGCAATCTTAAAATAATTCAAGCAAAATTACCTTTATACCAATCAAACTTAAAATAAAAATGAGAAATAGTGTAATTTGCTTAAGAAAATGTTCTTTGGACTGGAGAAAAGTCTAGCAAGGTAAACATAGCAAATGAAATTTAGGAAGTGATTGTGTTTTTAACCTGGCATATATTAAGTACTCAGATATTATGTGAATTCATGAGTGAATGAATGACTCATTCCCTAAAATAGATAAGACCCAGAAGCAGATAAGTTGTTTGCAGTTTTAAAAAGGGAGAGGGAGGTAACAGAAAAGCTTTTAGTCCAAGAGAGCAGTAATATTAGTCACCATCTCAAAATTTTGAGCCACATAACATGCAAGTATATAAACGCAAAGCTAAGTCTAAAAGCTTTTGATATTGAAACAAGACCCAGCTGAAGATAAAAATTGTTTTCCACCTAATCTTTTAAGAATAAAATTGAGGTTAACTTAGGCAGGGCTTGGTAACAGGTGGGTTAGAGATAGATACACACAGAACCCACATATTTTACTGTAAAATTAAATAATTTAACATCTTCATATTCTATAGATCTTCCCAAGGAATAGCATACAACCCAACCTTTAGGCCTATATATCCAAACGTAAAATTTACCTAAGGGTAGTAGATACTGATCTAAGCGTAAATAACAAATGTTTATATAACTTGGTTTTGTAAACATGAAACAAAGGGCAACTATACACCACTATATGGTATAATAACTGGTATGCTTCCCTCTCCTCAAAGCCCTCCAATTCTTATACCTGAAATCACTCAAACATCTCTGAATTCTGGGACCAACTTGGCTCCAACAGAGTAGAAATTTAACAATTACAGATCTTTTCCTGGCTAGAGTTCATCACTGTTGCTGCTTCCCTACCTGAACAACTCTAACCATAAAAACAGTTCCAGGAACTTAGACATGGCCTTAGTTTTTGTGTGTAGACTGTACCACTAACTTTATGCTACAGTTGTGAGTCCCTGGTTTCTTGTTTCTTGCCATGGTTTAATAACCTATTTTCTTAATTTCAATTTCTCTGGAAATGGGGGTCTGGTTTGCTTCCCTAATTTTCTGGGAAGTAGAATTCTCTCTCTGCGACCCAGATTCTATCATTAGGACCTTAACTGCTTGTTGCTAAATTTACTTGGTCCCAATCACCTGTCTACCTATAACTTTGTGCACCTCATGCAGTGTGACTAACAGTGTTCTGTGTTGGCCTGCCAGGCGCCTCTCTTCCAAAGACCGCCACTTATCAAAATATCCTAATATTGTCTGCTGAGATCAGGGATGTATGTCTTCAACAGGAATATGTGGAAATGGGACTAGAAACAATAGGTAGAACAAAAGACAAACTTTCAGTTAGGAGGATAAGGTCAAGAGATCTGTGGTGCAACTGGTGATTACAATTAATAACAATGTATTATACTCTTGAAAATTGGTAAGACAGTAGATTTTAATTGTTCTCATCACAAAAAAAAAGCATGTGAGGTAATATATGTTATTTAGCTCAAATTAGCCATTCCACAATGTATACTTATTTAAAAACAACATACTATACACCATAAATATATATAATTTTTGTTTGTCAAATAAATAAATGTTATCCACTGTGAGTTGATTTTTGTGAGAGGTGAGAGGTACGAGGTACAGATCCTGTTTCAGTCTTATACACGTGGCTATCCAATTTTCTCAGCACTATTTACTGAATAAGGATTCTTTTCCCCAGTGTATGTTTTTGTCTGCTTTGTCAAAGATTAGATGGCTATATGAGGATGGTTTTATATCTGGATTCTCAGTTCTGTTCCATTGGTCTATGTCTCTGTTCTTGTGCCAGTACCACGCTATTTTAGTTACTATAGGCTTGTAGTATAGCTTGAAGTCTGGTAAATTGATGCCTCCCAATTTGTTCTTTTTGCTTAAGATTGTTTTTGCTATACAGGGTCTTCTCTGGTTGATACAAAGCATAGAATTATTTTTTCTAGATCTGTGAAAAATGATGTTGGTATTTTATTTTTTTTCACTTTTTAATTTTTTTTTTTATTTCAGCATATTATGGGGGTACAGATGTTTAGGTTACGTATGTTGCCCTCCCCCCACCACAAGTCCGAGATTCAAGCGTGTCAATCCCCCAGATGATGCGCATCTCACTCTTTGTGTATGCATATACCCGTCCCCTCCTCCCCCCTCCCCCCTGCCTGACATCCAATAAATGTTATTCTTATATGTGCACTTATGTGTTGATCAGTTAATACCAATTTGATGGTGAGTACATGTAGTGCCTG